TCAGAAAATTAAACTACTATTAAATTTTGTTTTCAAGTTTCTTTAAACCAAAGAAAACTACAGTGGGATGCCATGGAACAAGATCTCCTGGAGAGAGTGAGAAATCTCCGCCAGAGACTCGCCGCCCAGGCGCGTAACAGATGTCAAACGCCTCATCTTTTGGCCACGTAGGAGGCTGGTCACCTTGAGAGAGTCAAAGAGAGAGAGATACCTATTTCACAATCAATGACACTGAATTTTAGATTATTTATTTTAAATTCCTATAAAGATCCACGATTTGTATAGAATACTGTGAGTATAAAAATTATGTGCTCTATTTAATTCTGATGCATTTTTGGCTTGTAAATGGCTTCTTGTACTTTTCACAATAAAAAAAAATTTTTGAAGCTATTAAAACTTGTGTTAGGCCCTTCCAGGTTGCGAGACCCAGCATAAACCTCAGTAACTAGTTGATGAGGGGTTATTTTAAGGCTAAACAGAGATAAAGAGCAGGAAACCATCTCAACACCTATACAACCAGGACTGAGAGAGAACTCGGCAGCGACAGTGGAGGGGCCTGAATTACAGCCCTCTGTTCCCCAACGGTCCCAATGTACATGACATCGGTGTTTGTCTGCTTCTCCTGACAGCACCGACCACTGTCCCCCTCTCGGGCTCTTAGCTCCACAACAGGGCTTTTCATCATCTTGGGCGAATTACTTCTCTAAAGCCATTTCCAAAAGGAGGGTAGAAGTAGCTATGGACTTGATGTGAGAATTAAATAAGATAACATACATACAGTTCCTGGTACTGTGCTTGACATACAGTAATGTGCAATACGGAGTAGGAATTCTTTTTTCCAGGGTCACAAAACACAATCTTATGGTAAACCAGCTATTTTCAGTAAACAGAGTGCTCGCTTTTGTCCAACAGTGAAAGTTCTAAAATAATATCCCATCACTACGCGAGGGATTGTTTCCCCAAGAGCACTTTTCCTTAGCCTGATTTTCTGTTCGTTTTCAGGCAGTTGCAATCATGCCTTAGTGGGTTGGGCTGCTATTTGGGAACAGGAAGTCACAGAATATAGAACGCAGAGGGTATGATGAACCAGAATTTGCTTGCTCACCTGAAAGCATTCAAATTCTAAAATACTGTGATTCCACTATTTGGAATCAGCTGTCTAAAGCCAGCTTCTGACCTCTATCAAATTCACCTCTTCTAGTAGGATTTATACTTAGATTGGTTATGCAACTACACACCTTTTTTTTTTTAAGATTTTATTGGGGAATTGGGGGAGGGGAACAGCGTCGGGGAATCGGGGAAGGGAAACAGACAAGTTGCTGTCCTTTTGTTCTTCAGTCTAGTTGTGGAGGATGTCGCTTCACCGGCCCATGTTGGTATTGTGATCATTGTGCTCTTCCCAGGTGAGGCAGTCGTTCGCCAGCCATTGGACAGCTGCTCATGGCGGCTCACGGCAGTTCATGCCAGCTGCCGTCCAGCCCCACTGCAGCCTACACCATTGCCAGCGACTGATGGCAGCCCAGCTCCAGGTCGAGCTGTTGTTCATCATCTTAGCTGTAGAGGGCGCAGCGTCACTAGCCCTCATGTGGAATCCAAACTAGGGTCCTACTGCTCAGAGCTGGTGTCCCAAGCCAACTATTAACCAAGGTGCCACTTGGCCGGCCCCACACACCTCTTTTATAGTATTACAATATTTCATTTTCATATAGCATTGCTGTTCATCCAGTGAGTTAGTGCATTTTCTCAATCAAATGAAGTTCTTTTAATCACATTCCATTTTCTCTGAGCCTACAGTTCTCCCAATAATAATCTTTTTTTTTAAAGATTTTTATTGGGGAATTGGGGGGATGGGAACAGTGCTGGGGAATTGGGGAAAGGGGAACAGACAAGTTGCTGTCGTTTTGTTCTTCAATCTAGTTGTGGAGGATGTTGCTTCACTGGCCCAAGTTGGCACCATCATTGCGCTCTTCTCTGGCGAGGCAGATCAGTCGCCGGCTTCTGGACGGCCGCTCACTGCGGCTGCTGGCCGCTCACGCTGGCTGCTGGCCACACACGGTAGCCCATGGCAATCCACTGCCACAGGGACTGCAGCCTACGCCGTCGCCGGCGACTCATGGCAGCCCAGCTCCAGGTTGAGCTGTTGTTCAGCATCTTAGCTGTGGAGGGCAGTGTCACTGGCCCTCATATGTGGGATCCGAACTGGGGCCCTCTGGCATCCCAAGCGAGTTCTTAACCATCGCGCCACTCGGCCGGCCCTACCAATAATAATCTTGATAAAGTCATTGACGTAGCAGATTTCAGATACTGGACTGAATCACTTTGGTCATATGTGGTTGGTTGGCATGTCAAAGGTTATCACGTTTAACGAAATATGCGAAATATATTTCTGATTATCTCCTGCTTCTTGACATTATAGCCTCAACATTACCCCAATTTCTTTACAATGTAAATTCTCTGAGAACTGAATGAAGGTTGAACTTGGCTAAAATTCTTCTCACGCTGGCTACATTCAAAAGCTTCTCTCAAGTACTCCCTTGAGTTTGTTAAAGCAGAGTGGTTCCTAAAGCCTTTTCATATTTCTTACATTCATAAGGTCTCTGGTGTGAATTATATAGTGTTGGATAACTTTGGGGCTTTAGCTAAATCCTTCTCCACATCGACTACATTTAAAGTTTTTCTCCGGTATGAATTCAGGGGTGTTAAATCAGTTACTGACTTGGGTAAAGGTCTTTTCACATTATATTCATGTGGTTTTTCTCTGGTATGCACCCTCTGATGTTGAGCAAGATTTGAGCATTTGCTAAAAGCCGTTCCACAGTGACTCCACATTCACCATTACAGCAGTAACGATGACTGCTGGGACCGCCAAAGGCTTCAGTAATAAGCATGGGTGCACTTATCACAGATTCTGGACTTAATGCATCCAATCAGGAGACAAACCACATGATAATTTGAACAAGGAAAGTTAAATGTAAAGAGTTATTAAACTGATAGGAGAATAACTATAAAGATGTAAAGAATTCTAAAGGGTGCCTAGGGCTGAGGGAGAGTAAAGAAAGGGCAATTTGGAAGGGAGGCCCCTTCCACCCTGAGGCTCAGGTTCAGACCTAGTTGGAGAATGTGTTGCAGACCACTGAATAGTGGAAGGGTTTACTGGGTTTCCAAAATCAGCTGGCCCCAGTCCCCAGGCCTCAGGACACAAGTCTCTGGGGTGCAGGCAGTCCAAGGCTGCTGGGCAAAAGCACAGGGAGTCAGGGCATCAGCCCCTGAGTGTTGTCAGGGTGGTGTGCACACTGGCCAGCACTGGCCATGTTGGGAGGGCCTCAGGAAACCACTCTCTGGGGCACAGGACGACCGAGGCTGGAAGGCAAGTAGGTGCTCAAAGCGTCTGGGTGCTGCTGCTAGCACTAGACCTGGAACATGCCATGTCCATGTTGGGATGACGGCAGCAAAGCAGTCATCGGGCTGAGGATGTGAAGTCACTAAGATTGTGCACTCTGGGCTCATGACTAGGAAACGACTAAAGACAACTATTTCCAGTAAAGGGCAGCAGAGAAGTAGAAGTAGTAAGGGATTTGGGGCTATTGGTAATTGATACGTCACCCCTAAGGATGAAATAGATAGGCAGCCTACTAAAATGTTGCTCAGTATATGTAACAGGAAAAGTCATATCTGGTGGCCAAAAAACCTGACTTGAGTCACCACAGTGGAGAGCCGTGCCTGTCATCCATTTTTCCAGACCTAAACTCATTTCCAAATCCAAAGCCTCTTGATTGAAGGGGAGGCCAGGTCCCCTTGAGGAAGGATACTACAGCGGTCAGTGCTGTGTGGACATGCTGTAAATAATCCCCCAGGCCTTTCCAAAGGGATCTGTTGCCATTTACTTCAATGACTACGTAGAATGGAAAACAGCAGACCTTTCAGGGATTATGGACACTGGCTCTAAACTGGCACTAATGACTGTAGCCCACCAAAGTCAGGGCCAATGGTGGAAGGAGTCTTGGACCAAGTTTGAATTGCAGCAGACGCAGTGAGGCCATGAAACCAACTGTGGTTATTTTCTGAGTACCTAAATGTATAACTGAATAACTTGACAAATGGCAGGTGCTGCACACTGGCACTATGTCCCATTGAGTAAAGTTCATTGCGGTAGAAAGAGGCAAGTGAACGCCTTCGGAAGACCCTCAATACCAAGACAGTAAAACAAAAGTACTATCACATCCCTGATGCGAGAATTGCAGAGATTAGTGCCGCCATCAAAACCTTGAAAGATGAAGGGGTTGTTAGCGCTCTTACATCTCTGTGGGATGACTGAATTATTAGAAATTTAATCCGTGATAACCGCAATTGAGCAGCCGTTTCAGATGCAGTAACAGCACAGCCCTGTCATGTTATGTCCCAGCAGGCGAGACCCCCGCCCCCAGACCCCATCACATCCCGCCCCTTCCCAGCTCCGCGGCCCGAACTCCACGCGATGGTGTTCAGCGCCCTCCAGTGTCTGGCCTCTCATCGCGTGCCACCCACCTCCCCCAGCCCCCCGGACACTTCCCTGGTGTCGGATGTCAAGAATCAGACCCTTCCCGGGGGGCCTTGTGTGCCAGCCGCTCCTCTGGAACCTCCCTTAGGGGGCTTTGCACCCAGCGGCGCTCGCAGCGCCCTCCTGGGCCGGGAGCACCCCGGGCTCCGGCCTAACCCCGGGCTGTGCACGTCCCCAGCGACGCCCACTGCTCAAGGGCAAGAGCTGGACCAAAGGTGGAAGGTGAGACGGCAGGGGGCCCCTCCTGGCAACCTGCCGCCGCAGCGCGGGGGTGGTGAGGGTAGGGTTCTTCCTAAGACGCTCACCCGGCTCCCGCCCACCGCAGGTGTCCCCCCTTACCGTCATACCGCGGCCCTGGGGCCCGTCTTCCGACCCGGGCCCAGAACGCCGGGAGTCCGCCGGGCAATGGGGATTTTTCTTTTTTTTTTTAGGAATTGGGAGATTTGGGGCCAATTAAACATACCCCGGGTCCTTCGGGGAGGACAGAACGAGCCGAGCGTTGGCCGATACAGCAGCGACTCCAGAGTGGAAGAGTACGGGTCTCCCGATCCACAGACGAGCAAGTAAAACCCCTTTCCCTCCGGAGGACAGACCTACAGCGAACAAAAGTATTGTGCCCCGTGTGAGGATCGAACTCACGACCTTCAGATTATGAGACTGACGCGCTACCTACTGCGCTAACGAGGCACCTACAAGCAGCGCTCGGCCGTAGAGTAACGAGCTTGTACTGCGGCCCCGTGCGCATGCTCAGAAAGCTACGGTTTCATTTCTATTTTTCCTGGTTCCTGCTCCAGGACGTTCAAAGTCCTCGGCCTCAGGGCCCACATGGGAGGGCGCCCTGGCGGAACCGCCCACTCTGTGTCCCGGTCCTCCTCCTCCTGCAGGTCCATTTGTCAATCAACCAACACTGCGACTATCTTGCCCGCGCTGCGCTGAGGAGCGCTGAGTTAGGGGGACCCCCGGGAATTGGATTCTTGGTGTTGTAAACTCTCCTGTTTGCATAACGCTCACAAAGCGTTTGCACATTTGTGATCTTGGGAAACACTTAATGGGCACCCTGTGCTCGGCGCTGCGTTCACAAGGACACTCCCAGCCTTAAAGAGTTGGAGAGGGAGCGCGGATGCAGTGAGTGGAAAGCACGCCGGTGCACACTCTTCCTGCCGCACCGCAGATCCCGCTCCCGCCGGCCTCTCCCTCGCCCCCAAGCCCGTCCAGGCGCCGCCGGCTGAGGCCCGTCTTCTTATCGGCGTCCACCGCGCGGAAACGAAACCCAGAGCCACGGCCTCAGTATCTTGGAAGACCTCGGCCACCTGTCCCCTCCACTTCCCCCAGCCCTTTGCACAGCTCAATGAAATACATTCCTTGTTAAAGGAAGCTTGATGTCACTATCACAAATAGAAAACGGGGTTTTCCCCCCAATACATGTTAAAATAAATACGTAGCTATTAAATAAAAAATGCTCGTCCACGTACCATCTAAAATCAACCAGACTGCCGCAACTTACGATTTGTCTATTTCGCTGTATGTAAATTGTACCCTAAAAAAAAGGTAAAATAAAACTAATGTTGGAAGAATTTTTTAAATTACTCAAAATTCAGGAGATGAGGTGGAATGTTAAGGGGGCAAGTGGCAATGTCAGCGTGAGAAGAAAATGCTATCTTAAGAGCAGTCACCAGAATTCCTGGAAGTTGTGGGGAGAGAACGATGGTGGATTGGGGTGCGGATCTCTCTATATTTGGAAAGAAGCCTGTGGAGTAGGAGGTCAGCAAGGCCCAGACCAGGCAGGACTGAAGGACAGCTCCAGGGCAGGTGAGACTCCAGCAGGTAGCCAGAGGAGGGGTGGGCTCCTTAGGATATCTTCCTGTCTCCTTATGAGGAGTAATGGATGGGGGCAGGTTGCCCTGACCCCAGACCTGGAGGATTGGTTGGAACTTCCCATCCTCAAGGGCCCCAGTGGAATCCCACGACCTCCCAATCCTCAGGAAATTCTGCCATCCACGCTCCCAGGTGGTGGGAACTTGACAAAGGGACAATGTTGGGGATAAAGTTACCAGGGCCGCAGGACCACCCCGAGGATGCAGGAGGGCAGATGGGCTAGGAAGGGGACCCCCCACACACACACACACACACTCACAGGAATCCTTTGCTGGGTCCCTGAACCCCTGTGGACTGCAAACTTTGGGTGTCACGGCAGTTTCACCCAGATCTTCAGGCCCAAGTAGTGCTGATTGACTTGTGGATTAAGTCCAATGGCCCTGTCTCCCACAATGACAAACTCGCGTGTCCAGCAGTCCCACAACTGGAAAGGTGTCCAACAGATAAACACATGGTTCTTCCCTGAAGTCGTGTCAGAACTGCAAATAATTGGAAACAACTCAGGTATCCATCAACAGGAAACTGGCCACAGAAATGACTGTCAGTCCCAGCTGTAAACAAGAACAGTGGACACGAAACGAGTGAAGAGAGCTGGGCAGAGCTGGGTATGGTGTGTGTCACCATTTCTGTAAAAGGGGGGCGGGTATATTCACATTTGCTAGTATTTGCACACTACATCTCTAAATCAGTGTGCAGGAGCGCTGGGCCAAGGGGTCTCCGCTACCCCCCGGGGGCTTTGTTTTGTCCCTGCTCTGGAAGGGGGGAGAAGGGAGGTGGAGGCATCATTCTGGTTCTAAAGGTATTCCTGAGTGTGTATGTGTGTCTGTCTGTCTGTCATTTCTGAGTGTGTGTGTGTGTGTGTGTGTGTGTGTGTGTGTGTGTGTGTGTGATTTCTGAGTGTGTATGTGTGTGTCTGGATGTAAAAGGAAATGTGTTTTAGGAAAATGCTAATACTCAATTTCTACCGTGAAAGCCCTTTTACTATAACTGAGGTGGTTTAAAATTCAGCGAGTTATTTCAAGGCATCAGCCATTCCTTAGTTAGATACATAAAGTTAAGAAGTTTCTACCTAGGCTGAGAATTGGGAAATTGTGATCCTGGTCTTTTTCCTTCCCTCCCTCCCTCCATTTATTTTTTCCTTCCTTCAAAATTTGTCAAACAGCCACTGTGTGTGGTGCCCTATGCTGAATCCTGAGGAAATAGATGAATAAGAATCATTACAAAGCCTCCCTGAGCTTATCGTCCATTCATTTTTAAAAGTTTAGTCCACAAATGTTTACTGAGCACCTAATTTGCTCCAGCTTCTTCGTAGAGATGAAAGACATAGTTCCTCTTCCTACCGAGTTTATACTCTATTATTTTTTTCACTTGTTCGCTCAATATACACGTTCTGAGCACCTACTATGTGCCAGGGACTGTGTGAGCTTCTGGGATCCCAAGATGAACAAAACATAGCTTTTTGTCTTGATTAGACAATATTGTGTTTGTCTCCTAGGGCTCCACAAGCTCAGTAGCTTAATAGGAATTTATTGTCTCATAATTCTGGAGGCTAGCAGTCAGGTACTGTTGTTACTTCCACTGTAAAGACAAGCTCAGGGAGCTTTGGAAAGTTGTTTAAGGCCACACTGCTGGTAAATGGCAGACAGGCGGGTGGGGTGGAGGAGGATGGGGGAGGGGTTCAGCACCAAGGAGTCTGGCCCAGGCACCTGGAATTTTTTACTCATTGCATTCTTTTCTCTTCTCTAGGCTATAAGGAAAGCCTTCTAAGATAAGCCCTCCCCCAGTCTACCTCCAAATCTCAAAACTTGGGAATTATTATGCAATCAACTCAGCTCTCAGGAGGCATTTGACCCAGCTGACCACTCCCTTCCTCTACACACCCTCTTTTCTTTTGGCTCCCATGGCAGCCAGCCCCTCCCCCCCATCTCTTCTTATGGCTCTACCCTCTTTCTCAGTCTCACTCATCCAACCAACCTCAACTGTTTTTGAAGACCGTCTGTATGCTGACTACTTCCAAGTTATATCTCCAACCCGTCCTCTGAGATCCAGACTTGATTATCCCAAATGCCTAATGAATATCTCCATTTGGAAGTGTAGCAGGCACCTCACGCTTAATATATCCAACGTGGATTTTTCTCCCCCTCTCCCGCATGAGGTGCTATGCCTGTGCTTAAAACACCCCCTGCCCATGGAAGTCCAGAGTCCTTCCTGTGGATGGCACAGGCCAGCGTGCTGGAGCCCCTGCACCCTCGTCTGCCCCCACCCTATCCCCTCCCCAGGCTGCAGCTGCTGGCCTCTTCCGATCCCCGCACTCGGTAAGCACTGGTGGGACTCAGGACTCTCCCTCATGTTACCGTGTCGGCAGAGCCCTGTTCCCCAAGTCCCTGCTCTTCACATGAGTGACAGCTCTTATCCTGGAGACTCAGCCTAAACGCAGTTTCTGCAGACAGATTTCCCTCGCCACCCCATTCTTTCTGTGTGTTTCCTTCCTAGCCCTTGTAACGATCTGGAATTATTTCTGTGTTCCCTTGTGCATGTCTGCCACCCCCACCAGACCACAGGCTCCCAGCAGACAGTGGTAATGGCTGCTTATCCACAAATGTTACCCCAGTGCCTGGTCCACAGTAGATGTTCAGTAAATACGTATTGTGCTTGAAATCAAATCAGTGGTCCCTGCTAAGTCGATCGTGAACATGAAATGCCAATTCTAGGCCTATTACTCGTAGAATCTTTTCAGAGGCAAGGCAGTCCTCATACGTGATTACAAGTAATTGAAAAGTAGATGCAAATGAATCAACAAAACAAAAACAAACTCATAGATACAGACAACAAATTGGTGGTTCCCGGAGGGGTAGGGGGGTGAGGAGAGGGCGAAATGGGTAAAGGGGGTCGAGTGTATGACGACGGATGGGAACTAGGCTTTTGGTGTTGAACTCCCTGTAGTGTATACAGATATCAAATTATAATGTTGTGCACCTGAAACTTACGTGATGGTGTTAACCAATGTTACCTCAATTAAAAAACAAACAAAAAAGACAGATAGATAGATAGATGAAGGAAGGAAGGAAGGAACGAAGAGAGGGACAAAAGGATATTGGATGGGACCTGGGCTTTTTTATAGACACTTGGTCTCTGTTTTTGCATTTCTCCTCGTGGGGTCATCCAAAATGTTAGGATAAAGATAATCTTAGGGAAAACAGCAGCCTTGGGCACCCAGTCCATGTTAAAGTTTATTTGATTTGGGTTTAAAACGAGGAGCTAGGAGCTAATGTGTTTTACAGAATTGATTAGAGAACTATTTTCTCTGTTAAAAACAAAACACAAAAGAACGAGGGGTGGAATGCCATGTGTGGGTTATCACGGTGCCAAAAGCTCCTGAAAGGGGTTCTCTGCCAATATTTGGGGTTTGGTGCTCCAAAACAACTACGCAGGCTTTCCTGAGGCTTGATGGCCACCACGACAGTGACCTTGCTTCCAAAGTGAGGGTGTGCTTGCCCCCTGGAAGTGCAGGGTGACCCTTTTTTTGGCTGAGCCACAGAACTGAACGTGGAGCTTTGCAGAGTCACTGCAGACAGGCCATGAGCACGACGCCAGGCTCTCCTCTGCGGCTGCTTCTTCATCAGCAGCAAGATAATTGATGGTTAGATTTCCTGAGGCACAGACCATGGCTGAGGTGAGTCTACTGCGAGCCGCTTCTCCAGAGGGAGGTACGACTGTCAGGAGTTTCCAAATGGTGAGAGGGGAGACTGGAAATGGGGTTTGCACCTGTCAAACTTCGAGTGGTTGTGTGTCTACCGTGGGCAGGGCTCTGTGCTCAGGCCTGTGGCGGACATGCTGAGGCTGCTGTCTGAATTCCTTCCTGCGCCCTCTCCCCCCACCTCCAGTCTCATCACCAGGTAAAGTGGCGGCAGACAGGGGCTCAGAGCGGTGGATCACGCCATGAGGGCGTGTGTGCCAGCACAAGTTCAGGTTTGGGTGCTAGAAACCCAGCTCAGGTTGGCTTAAGCAGTAACGGGATCACCTTGCTCACGTGGCAGAGGGAGTGAGGGATGGGGGTGCGGGGGTAAAACCCGACCCCAGGAATGCTAGGATACAGAGATTTGGTCTCTTTTTCTTTCTGCCTCACCACTGAATCTCTCTCCCGCTGCCTCATCTCAGCCGTGTGTTCCCCCTACGCTGGCGTCATTCTCAGGTTCTCCATGTTGTATTATAGCTTCCAGAAACACCTGTCCTCCAACTGCCTGACAACCCCGGTGGATAGAGAGCTTTTCATCCCGGGAGTTCTAGCACAATGTCTGAATTGATTCCCATTGGTCCACCTGGGTCATGGGTCCCAGGCACGGTGGACAAGGTGATTCCGACTGGACAGGCCCACGTGACCAGAGTCCCAAGGCGGGTCAAAGGTCAGCACCATGGGAATCACAGGACTGAGAGCCTGAAAAGGGAGATTTCCCAGTGGCAGCTTGGAGCACAGTCACAGAGGAAGGGGCCCTGGATGCTGGGGAGGCAATAACCCCATGTCCGTGCCACTAACCAAGTAACTGGAGGTGAGGAGAGCCAGTGGCTCAAGTTTCAGTCAGCTTCCTGGGGGGAGGGGGTTCAAGAGCCTCTGTCCT